TCCCTTATTGGTCGTGACCAAACTTGTGTCAGTGGTCGTGATCTACTCGTTCATGTCGTTCATGATGAGGCCTGAGGCATCTCGCACCACATGCGTTGTGGCAATTATTCATCGCCCTTCCTCACGGGCAGCTCCTCTGCCTTGCCCTCCCTTACTGTATCCTGGCTCTTCCACGTCCTCAGGTGCATGCACGTACCATTCCACACGATCGATTTCTTTGAAATGGTGTATGCGAATACTGTTGCACAAATCACTCCCGCTGGCCGACGATTTGACTTGATTGACAGTTTCTGTGGTGTAAAGCAAGGCTGCTCTGCATCCATGATACCGGAGAAAAACCATTCATAATCGTTTTAGGGTTATAGGGCTATGGGGCTATGGGGCTATAGGGTTCTGGGGCTCTGGGGCTCTAGGGCTAGAGGGCTAGAGGGCTAGAGGGCTAGAGGACTAGAGGGCTATGGGGCTATAGGGCTATAGGACTATAAGGCTATAAGGCTATGAGGGTATAGGGCTACAGGGCCATAGGGCCATAGCGCTATAGGGCTATTAGGGCTATAGGGGTATAGGGCTATAGGACTATAGGGTTATAAGGCTATAGGGCTATAGGGCTATAGGGCTACCGGGCACCCTGGCACCCAGGTGTGCCGCCGAAGTCGGCGCCAAACCTCACCTAACCATATGAATCCGCAAGGGCCCCTATAGAGGCAAGCTCTGATTGGGGAATATTCCTCTTCGTGATTGCAGCCGGTCAACTTCTTCGTTGGCTGCACCACCGCTGCACCAGCCATATCAGCATCAACGTTGCATATGCCCCACAATGTTCTTTTCGGTCTGGTCGAGATATAGAGTTGCCTGGCTAACCTGGTTGCCTGGCCTCCCCCATTCTGTCCGAGATTGAACTGCTCGTGCCCTGGCACGACCGCCGTTCACGGAACCACTGGGGACCCGTCGAGTTGCCCAAGAAGTTTCCCGGGGTATTAGAAAACAGTGATGACAAAAATGACCCTCCACTTCACGAAAACTAAGACGATACAGGATATAGCTGGAGGACAAGCGTGGTCGTTGATGTATATTATGTTGTCAGTGTGTTCTGTTGGGGGTGGGGAAGGGCGTTGCGAATTGACCACGCAAGCGAGACGTGTTAATCCTCTGTTTGCGCCACGGAGCTTCACTCCCTCCTGTTCAATATCCTATCCCTTCTACTCCTCATTCTGCCTCCCCCTCCTCCTTCTCCTCCTCGTCCTCATCCTCCTCCTCCTCCCCTACCCCTCCTCCCCCCCCCCTCCCCCTCCCTCTGTTGCTCATCCTCGTCCTGCTCCCTCGTCCCTGCCCCTCCTCATCCTGTCCCTTCTGCTCCTCTCTGCGAGCTCCGCCTCGCCCCGTGGGCCTGCAGAAGGAGGTGGCGGTGTCAGAGAGAAAACATCGGCCGAGGCCGCAGCCGACGGCAGGTGAGAATGGCGGTGCAGGCAGCCGCTTAAAACGCTTAGCCCTGGCAGGGCTCGCTTCGATTCCTCTCATTCGATTCGATTCGACTTCGATGGATTCCAATTCCGATTCGATCCGATTTCGGATTCCGATTTGGGCTCCGATTTCTCACTGGACGCATACTAGCCTGCCGATTTCCGCCGATTCGACTTTTCCCGACTCTGCTGCCGATGTCCGCCGATCCGGCTTTTTTCGATCGCCGATCCGACTAATCGATTCGATTCTGGGCTCCCCTGCCCTGGTCACCAGAGGAAATTCCGAGCACAAAAAAAGTACCGAAACTCGAGGGTTTTCAGGTGTCGGGCCCTGGGAGACACTCGCCCGACACACTGTTTCGACATTCTTCCGACACTTTTCCGGGTGCTCGAAATTATTTCTGGGATGTGGCCCTGAAGTACGATGGGAGCCACATAATGTAAGATGTATGTGTGTGCATACATTGATGTGAATAAAAGTTCGTTGCGTCGGAAACGTGGGAAGTGATGATGGTGATGATGATGATGATGATGATGATGATGATGATGATGATGATGATGATGATGATGATGCGTTGTCATACGGAGCTTTGCTCACCACACGACTGCATATGCACTAGTGAGACCAGGCGTTCGGCAACATGTCGGCTATGTATGATACGATGTTGTGCGCCAAGCAGAACTAATCGTTTCATAGCTTGGAGTCTTACTAGAGACTTTCCTTCGTACGCGAAAGGCGCTGTATTATTGCGAATGTTTCTGGTAATGGCATCACTACCGCTACATACTACTGCCACGGGTGGTCGGATGGTTCTTGCCGGCATGCTTGCAGTGGCCAGTTTGCGGTCGGGGCGTCATATTTGTTTGTTTGTGTTCCTCCTTATCATCCCTCCTCCAAAGGCTGTTTTGGCAACTGCATTGTTCACTCGATCTGTTGCCGGTCTCACACATTGTGTGTTCTCTGTTCGGCATGTTTTGACATGCACGGTAGAGTTAGGGATTTGACAGTGTTCATCAGTGGGGTTTGATTATGATGGGGGAGAAAACACGATTGCCACATATAGCGTTAACGCGTGGCTAAGATAGTTACCACTGTTGCTGCAGGTGCCACTAGAGTTCTGGTATCTACACATGTTCTTCCTACTGTTGTTACTCCTACTAGTGGTACTTCTGCGATCGAGATCGTTTTGCGGCGCAGTGCCACCGACGCCTGTTTACTAGTAATTGATACAACGGCAATGTACCCCAATACCACTTTTCTTCATCTCAGAGCCAATACTGTTTCAAATGCGTCCACCAGTGCTACCAATGCTGTTGGGAAAGGCGGCTGCGATGGCTACGACTACCGCCAGCACCACTCCGAATACGTATCATCACGATTGTTCCCAATCCCACTATACCATTGCCATTGCTGCTGGTGTCATGTCTGACGACTGGCACTGGTATTGCGACTACTGCGACTACGACTACTAACATCACGCGTATCCCAATGCCAACCATGACATAATGGATGGTTTTGTTGCTGACATCGCTAATGCTGTGGCTATTAATGCCATCTCATTGACCTTCGTACATGGCCTGCACGGGAGTTTGCCCGCGTGTTCGTTGCGACTGCGGCGTTGATGGGTGGTGGCCGTTCACTGGAAGTGTTGCGTGAGCAGTCATGGGTGTCTCGGAGCAGGGAGTAGGGAGCACGAAATGGCTGTCAGTGTCCCCCCTCGTGGGCCTCCCTTGGACTCCCCCTGAGGCCGTCTTGGGAGCATCTTGGGGGCTCACTGTAGCATCGTTAGCGCTTGCCTGCGTGCTCGCGGGGACATGTTTTTGGAGCCTCGTGGGGCCTCTTGGGAGCCCCTGGGAGTGTCTTGGGGGTGTCTGGGGTGCCCCGGGGGGCCTCACTAAGGTCGATTGGGGCTGGCTACCTCGGGGGCACTCTGACGGCAATGGGGGGGGGGGGCGGGCACTTGTCGGGAACGGGTTCGAAATTTGGGTTCGGGCTCCGCCCTTTCGGACCCTTTTGGGTGGTCTGGAGGCTTCGTGGGAGGCTTCTGGTGCCGTCTTTGGGCCCTTTGGGGCCGTCGTTTGGCCGTCCTGGAGACATCTTGGCCTCAATGGTGGCAAGTTTAGGGGCTGAGTGGGCCGTTTTGGGCGGTCGGAAGATTGAAAAGGCCGTAACGCAAAATTGCTTCAAATACCAAGCAAAATCCATGATTGTTGGCCTCTTGGGGGCCCATCGGAGCTGTAGTTGACCATTGGGAGGCTATATTTAAGCCTTGTGGGTGTGTATGGAGGCCATCGTGCAAACTGCCATCCATGGATCCCGACTCGAATGACCTGTTGGAGCTGCCTCAAGGTCCTTCGGGGCGCTCCTTGGGCGCTCATGGGGGCTATGAAGACCGCCTGCGGGAACTCCAGCATTCGTGACACCGACCGCCCGTGGACCGCTTGTGCTGGGACCTCAGGGGCCGCCACGCGCGCGAAGACCAGAAGAATCAAAATTTGCCACTGGAGATTGTCGCACGCATCTGGCCCGTTGGGCTTGCGAATTGTAGCTGTAGTGCCACTAGCGGTTGCAGAAGCATGTGCAGTAGTAGCATCACCACGAATTTGTTCCGAAAGAGGAAGAGACCCCGACAAGGATTGCGTTGAGCCAGTTGGGTTGGTGGTGTGGGTGCGGAAAGCATCAATAATTCCTCAATAATGTTATGCTCCCACAGTCTTATGGTGGTACGGACGATGAGCGCAAGTGAGGCGCTAATCCAGAGGTAACACCGCGACGGAACGGTAATGCATGGTGGTGATCGGGCTGTTATGAACACCGGGTGCTAGGAGCGCCTCTCACACAGCCGATCTCGGCACAACGTGGATTTGGTTCAAGCCGCAGGGCGCGGTCTTGCGTTCTCACCCCCCTTGTCCCCCCCGCCGTCCATCTCCTTCCGTTTCCCTTCATCGACCTCTCCCCTCAGCATTGTGCGTCGGCGGCCGCCATGCGGCTGCGATTCGAGCTCGACGGGTCCGTCAAGTTGGGGGTGCACGACCCTGGCGGGCAGGCGCGCAGATCGATGCTCGCGGTGCCGCAGGAGGTCAGCCTCGTGAGCGACTTGGTGCACCACCTGCGCTGCAAATTCCAGCTGCCGCAGCAGCACCTGGTGCTCAGTGTCGGCAGCTTCTCGCTGCTGCCGGCCTTCCGCATCGACGCCGTGCTGCGCGACGGGGACGCGCTCGTCGCGCGCGCGGGCGGCGAGACGAACGCCAAGCGACGCGCACCTGGTGGGATGCTGGCGCTGGCGATGGTGCCCTGGGGGGAGGCCCCAACGGCCCAGGCCTCGCCCTCCGCCGGCGCCAAGCGGCCCCGGCTGGGGAGCGGCGCAGCCGCCGCGCTCGCCCTCCCCGCGCCCTCGCCGCCGTCTCCGCGGCCGCCGCCGGCGTGCGGCGGCGGGAAGGGGCGCGGGACGCCACCGGCGGCGGGCGTGGCCGCCCGCGCGCTGGCCGCGCTGCCTGACGCCGCGGCAGCGAGCGAGGCGGCGCCCAGGCCCTACAGCGGCGGCAGAAGCGCGGCGTGTGCGCCGAGCCTCGCACACGGCGACGCCGCGCCGGTCTCGGAGGCGCAGGCCGCAGCGGCGTACGCGGGCGCGCTGGCGCTCGCGGCGCGGAACGTGCTGGCGGCGCAGGAGGCCTCGCCCGCTCTTGCGGCGGCCGCCGCCGCACCAGTGGCAGGTGTGGCGGGCGCCAGCCCGCCGCCCGCCTCGTGCAGCGGCCCGCCGCCCAACGCGGCGGCGGTGGAGCTCTGGAGGCCGATTGCGCGGGCGCCAGCCTCCGGAGAGTTCGTGCGGTTCCGCACGCGCGGCCGCGGCGGGCTCTCGGACTTCCGTGTGGCTTTCTGCGTGGCCAGAGAAGAGCGGGGGCTGCGAAGGGTGTGCCTGGCCGAAGGTGTCCCCAGCTTGCGCTCCATCTTGAAGCCTCATGGGCCCTCTGGGGCTCGAGAGGGGTGCTGCTCGGGCCGCGGCTGCCCCCCTGGAAGTCTCGGGGACACCCTGCGGCAGGCGCACTCCTGGCAACGCCCGAGGAGAGGATCCTGCCCAGGGGGGCCTGGTCCTCACGCTGCGCGGCCTCGCTGCCGAGGGCAAGGGCGCCAAGAGCGCAGAGGAGCGGGTGGCCTTCGCGGAGCTCCTGCAGGTCTCCGTGCCGAAGGTCGGGAGGCCCGCGAAAGGCCCGCGCCCCGCCGCTGCAGGAACGGCGCCAGCCCCAACGCTGGCCGCCGGTTCACCTGAGGAGTCTGCGCCGCAGGCAGGGACGCCCCCGAAGGGCCTCCGCGCGGCCGTTGCTGGGGTGGCGCCGGCTGCCATGCCGGCTGCCGGCTCAGCTGCCCCGCGAGAACCCACTGATTCGCCGCAGGACGCCGAGTTGAAGAAGCTGACGGGCGGCGGTGCCGGCGCGAGGTGGCGCCCGAAGTGCAGCTCCGTCGGCGCCGAGGCTCTGCTGCTCGAGAAGCGCCTCTCGGCGGCTGCGCTCGGGCACGACAGGGTCGCAGAGGCTGTCCGAGGCCAGTTCGAGTTCTACCTCGGCCCCGACAACTACCCGAAGGATGGCTTCCTGCAGTCGCAGGCGTATTCCGGCGGGTGGATCTCGCTGCGCTTGATGGCCAAGTTCAACCGGGTGCGGGAGCTCACAGACGACCTCGCGGTCGTGCGCGGGAGCGTCGCTTCATCCGCCGAAGTCGAGGTCTCGGAGTGTGGAGAGTATGTGCGGAGGCGGCATCCAGTGTAGAAAAGACACGGTAAACAGTTGAGCCAACCAATTTGTTCGGAAAGCGTGCAATTGGCCGATTTGGTGCATCGAGTTCTTGACAGCCCAGATTGGAATTCCTCGCTCGTTGAAACCCTAATACGTCGGATCGCAATAATGCGTGCATCTCATGATGGCGGCAGTCATGGGTATTTGTTTCAAGCGAAGTGGACTCGGGGCTGGAATTACGCGAGCAAGTTGCCTCGCCCCACGTCCCCGGCATCCGACGTGGTGAGCAAGACGACGTCATGAGAAAAACGCCACCAGAGTTCTCGATCCCATCGTCAGGAGATCTCTCGAGCTGGATCGATCCGTGAGGGCACTGAAGCCCGAACCGAGACGAAAACGGCCAAATGCAATCGGCCAGTATTCCAGGCCCGTGCTTGGATGGCGAGTACTCCAGCGGCAGCGGCAGCCCGAGCCGGAGGAGCAGGAGGAAGGGGAGGAGGGGGAGGTGGATGAGGAGGATGAGCTGGAGGGGGAAGGGGGTCGGACGGGGCTAGGACGACGATAAATCCGTTCCAGAGCGTTCCGGAACTCTCTCAGAGCGTTCGGCGCCCGAGACATCCTCCAGAGCCGCCAGATCTCAGAGCGGGAGGGGGAGGAGGAGGAGGAGGAGGAGGGGAGCAGGATGAACTTGAGCTGGAGGAGGAGGAGGAGGAGCTGGAGGGGGACGGGATGAGGACAGAGGCAGGAGGAGGAGGAGGAGGAGGAGGAAGAGGAGGAGGGGAGAGGTGGAGAAGAAGCAGAGGCGGACGAGTTGAAGTCGGGATTGCAGGTCGTCTGAATCTCTCGGAGGTTCTTTGGAAGTTTTCGACGTAGGAGGACAAGAGGAGGAGGAGGGGGAGGAGGAAGGGGGGGCTCAGAGTCCGAGGTAAAGTTTGAAGAGTGAGGCGTGGAGGGAGGGAGGGAGGGAGGGAGGTAGGGAAGGAGGGAGGAGGAGGAGGAGGAGGAGGAGGAGGAGGAGGCAGGAGGAGGAGGAGGAGGAGGAGGAGGAGCGTCTTCGGGCGGGGCTTGCGTTTGCGCAGCGCGTCAGCTCCACCTCGCGTGGACGGGTGGCCAGAGCAGGACCTGACCAGCCCTGGACCGCCCCTCCCCGACCTGCCGCCGGGGACGCGAGGACCCCGTCGAGCATCGGCGACAGGCCAGCGCGCCTCCGAGAGCTGCGCCTCCGCGCCTGCGCGATGCGCCGCGCGCCACCGGCGCTCCCTTGCCTCGAGGCCGCCACTCGCGCGCGCGCGCGAGTTTGGGCGACGAGATCTATACATATCCACTGCTCCCTGGCCAGGCCCATCCTGAAACCAGCAGCTGTGTATCCGCCCCCCTGGCCAAGCCAGGAGCGCGTGGCGTATACACCGCTGGCGGGTTCAGGATAGGCCTGGCCAGGGAGCAGTGGATATGTATAGATCTCGTCGCCCTACGAGTGCAACCACGAGCGAGGACCGCGCCGCGCCGCCCTCGTTGCCGCGGCCCCGCTCGGGCGGCCGCGGCGGCGCCTGCGGCAGCGCCCCCCTGCAGCAGGGGCGGGGCGTGCGCCCAGGCCCTGCTCGGGGTGGCGGCGGCGGGAGCGCGCGCGGCAGCGGCAGCGGCGCGCCAGCAGGGGTTGCCGGAAGGTCCCCCCCCCCCCCCGGGGGGCGGCGAACCCGAGGGGGGGGGGGGGAGGGGCGGACCGCGTGGCAGGCCAAGCCACTGCGTGCCAGCGATCGGCAGGCCCGAGCGCCTTCTCAAGGGCCCCATGCTGCCCGCGGGGGTCCCCTCCTGCGCGGGGCCGGAAAAGAGGGGGGGAGGGAGCAGCAGCCGATATGCCCTGGGGAGAGGGGCCGCGGAGCAGGAGAGGGGGGCCGCGGAGGGGAGCAGCGCCGTGCAGAGGGGCAGATGCCCGGCGGCCCAGGAGGGGTAGCGGAGTGGCGCTCGAGGCCTCCTAGATGGGGTCGGAGTGCATGGGGTCGGATGATCGTGCCGCATCGCCGATGCGGCACGATGTGGAGCCCGAGTTGCTTCACGTCGACATCGCCGATGCATCGCCGACGTCGCCAGTGCATGGCCGATGCATCGCCGATGCATCGGCGATGCATCGGCGATGCGGCGCGACCCTCCGACCCCACCTACTCCGACCCCATCTAGGAGGCCTCTAGGGGCAGCGGAGAGGACGACGGGCAGGAGCCCCCCCCCTGAAGCCGCAGGCGCTGCTCATGTCCCGGGGCAACGCCATGGACTTCATGGAGGCCCCGCGGACGCCTCGCGCGCGTGCCCCCTGGTCCTCACCCTCTCGTCCAGCTCCCCCTCCAGCTCCTCCCCCGCCACATCCTGCCCCCCCCCCTCCTGTTTTCTAAGCCTTCCAGGTGGGGTCAGACCAGATGGGGTCGGAGGATCGCGCCGCGCCGCCGAGGCATCGGCGATGCGGCTCGACGTGGAGCCCGATGTCCTACACGCCGCCGCCGCCGATGCATCGGAGGAGGAGGGCGAGGAGGAGGAGGCGGAGGAGGAGGAGGAGGAGGAGGAGGAGGGATGCACCAAGGATGCGGCGCGGCCCTCGAGTCCCATCTGCTCCGACCCCAGCTGGGGGGCCCCTGTGTGCTCGTCTTCGAGCTCAGCGTGGGGCCCCGAGAGCCCCCCGTCGGCACGCCCGCGGCCCGCCCCTTCGGAGCTGTGGGTGAGACTCTCGCCTCCCAGCTCCTCGGCCCCCTCCCTCCTCCTCCTCCTCCTCCTCCTCCTCCTCCTCGGTCGGTCGGTCGATGCGCAAGAAGGGTCGAAGCGCGTAATGGAGAGATGAGGGCGAGAAGACCACAGGGTGAAGAACAAGGCAGAAGCAGCGGCAGCAGCAAGGAGCGGATGCCACAGCCTCATGCGCCCAAGGGCGCAGACCCACTCTGCAGTGGGCGGGCTCGGGGTACTGTCACTCATAGCTGACGAAACTAAAGAACGGGAAAAGGAAGTACAATAGAAAAAGGAACAAGAGAAAGGCCTTCCCCCTACCAAACAAGCTCGTTACTCCCCATTCGGGGGCGGTCAGGCCTTGTCCCAGCCTGACTTCACTCTAGGGGCACTGCCTTTAAAGGATGGCGCAACCTGCGAGGAACCTGCACGGCCCTCGTCCCTTCCCCCTAGAGCCCTTCACGAGCGTGCCTAGCACGCGACACTCCAGTTCTGCAACTTACTCTATAAATAAAAGAGAGATAGAGAGAGAAGCAAGCAACCGTCGTGGTTATAACGTATCTGTGGCTCGCCTTGACCCTGACTGATGCAACATACAGTCCATGGCAAACCCCGCAGTCGTAAGATATGGATCCAGTGGTGCCGCAAATCTCCTCAACCCAAATGGCAAATCCCATCCGTCGGTAGTGGGCCCAAGCTGAAGCAACCCCCGCAGGCAGATCTCGTCCTGACGGGTCCACTGGAGTGGTGACCTGCCGAGGTCGGCGGGTAATAATCGAGGTGGGGGAGAGTCGCGGCACAACTGTGGGAACCTTTCTCTGGCCTCTTGCAAAATACTGGCAGCCAGGAAACGGGAGAGCCCAGACGGGTAAACTTTAGCATGAGAGGTGCGCCAAAGGCCATCTTCACCAACCCCCATGAGCCCAGGATGAGGCCAAGAATGAGTGCAAAGCCCCCCCCCTGGTTTGGCTGCCAGTAAAGTGCTCATAGCGTTAAGATGAACAGCCAACAAGGTGGTCGGTTTTAAATGGGAGGAGCCAAACATGCACTGGTTGATATGAATCACCCTGGCACCAGGGAGGGCACACAAGCGCCTAAGATGGGGTAAATGCCACGAGCTCGGGGCCTCCGGTACCCTGGGATTTGTCGAAGGATGCTCCATGAGTGCTGGAATACCATGAATCCAGGCTTCATATAGAAACCTCACCGTCGTCCTGAGCAGGTCATTACCTAGAGCTAACTGAGCGGACTCACGTGCATTAACATGTCCAAAGCCCCATAGTGCATCCTTCGAGCGCAGCGGGCGGGGAGGACGGGCACCCCCAGGAGCATTGGCTGGAATAGGGAGATGTCTTGCCGCGGACCACGTCTCACACGGAGGCCCCGCTATTATAGCCGCTACACGGCCTGAACGTACCAACAATATCCAGAGCCAAACAGTGCTCTCTACTGTCAAATCTCCATGCACGGGGTGATTAGCAACATCCACACTAAGTACCATAATGTTGGTGGGGAAGGTGTCAACCAGAATGTCCATGTGCCATTGGACGTCCCCCTCACGACGATGCCCAGAGAACAAATGGAGGACATACATAACAGGGCGAAAGGGAAGAAAGCGAGGGCGAAAGGAAGCGGGCGAGGGGGAGGGAGGGGGCGGGATTCCTTCCACTGACTCTGCAAGCATGCGTGCCCGCTGGCGCGAGCATCTGATCCTGGGGCCTATGGGTGGGCCTGAGCACTGTAGCGGTGGTCGCTCCGCGTAGTGGTCGGGGCGAGCCTTGGCACGGTTGAACGCCGTGACCTGCTTGTACTCAACGCGTGCCTGACCTAGCTCCTCCTCGCTGGGCAGAAAACCTGACCTTTCCCAAGACACTCTACATGTGGGGGAGTTGCGTAAGTGTTGCACAAGCCGAGGATTGTTGTGAAATTCCCGTAAACAAATCTGACAGAGGGACCCAACAGCAAGCCTGGTCGGTGCCCCGAGGGCCTTGTGGACTTTTCCTCTATGAGCGCGCCACTGCTGAAGGCTCGAAGCAACAAAGGAACAATCAGGGCACTGAAAAATCACAACAGGAATACCAGAGGCCTCCAACGGGGTACCCACCACTGTCTGGTCCAAATTGGCCTCCCAAACAGCGCACCTAAGAGCATCCCGAGAAGCCCTCTTAGCTTTGATGACGGCAGCCGACACCAAGGATTTGTAGGTCCTGGGGTGATCGCGAACAAACCTAAATAGACCCTCGAGGGAATCATCTTCTGGACGGTGACGGGGTTCCGTGTGAAACCTCAACCACGCATAGTCAGCAACTAGAAGCTGCGCCCAAGCCCCCTGACATCTCCAGGTGACATCCACCAAAACTCTAACCCTCCTCCTCCTCCTCCTCCTCCTCCTCCGCCTCCTCCTCCTCCGCCTCCTCCTCCTCCTCCATCCCGCCTCCCGTCGGCGGCGAGCGAGGGAGTGGGAAACGAGAAGGAGAGTCGACGAAGAAAAACGCCGTGAACATAAACTGCTGGCGCTCCGCGCGGGTCTCTTGGATCCGCGCTGGGCCCCCCCGGCGGCGCCTCCGGCGCCGCCCTTGGCGCGCTCCGCGCG